ATGAGTTTTGGTTCCCTTTGCTTGCCAGGTCAATCTATTGTACTTTATTTTTGTTGGATGGTTTCAATTTTACTTATGGGTGTATATGTATATGTGTATATTCAATCACACTTTTTATTGTTGTTATAAACCTCTGCCTCTACGTTGGGCCTTTGCAGTTCTGTGGAGTTTTCCTTTTTTCCGTTTTCTCTTTCTTCTTCCATTTTATCTTCTTTTCTCTTTTTTATAATTTTAATTTTTAAATTTAATTTTAATTTACATTAAAATTTTAATTAATTTTTAATTTTCTTAAACCTGTTATATTTTTCTACATTTATTGCTTTATTTACTTTTCCTACTGTTCTTTTGCCCTTACAGTTAGTCTTTAATGTATATAAACCTTCTTCATCTACCTCCATTTAACTTTGCATAGCTATTCTTTCTTTTCTTTCTTCTCAGCAGGAAAACACTCAAGACTGAACACTCTTTGACATAAATCAAAGCAAGATCCTCTATGACCCACCTCCTAGAGGAATGGAAATAAAAACAAAAGTAAATAAGTGGGATCTGATTAAACTTAAAAGCTTTTTCACAGCAAAGGAAACTATAAGCAAGGTGAAAAGACAACCCTCGGAATGGGGGAAAACAATAACAAATGAAACAACTGACAAAGGATTAATTTCCAAAATATAAAGGCAGCTCATACAATTCAATACCAGAAAAACAAACAACCCAATCAAAAGCAGGAAAAAGACCTAAGCAGACATTTCTCCAAAGACATACAGATGGCTAACACACACATGAAAAGATGCTCAACATCACTAATTATTAGAGAAATGCAAATCAAAACCACAGTGAGATATCACCTCACACAAGTCAGAATGGCCATTATCAAAAAGTCTACAAACAATAAATGCTGGAGAGAGTGTGGAGAAAAGGGAACATTCTTGCACAGTTGGTGGGAATGTAAATTGATACAGCCACTATGGAAGATGGTATGGAGACTCCTTAAAAAACTAGGAATAAAAGCACCATATGACCCAGCAATCTCACTCCTAGGCATATACCCTGAGGAAACCAAAATTGAAAGAGACACATGTATCCCATTGTTCATTGCAGCACTATTTACAATAGCTAGAACATGGACGCAACCTAGATGTCCATCAACAGATGAATGGATAAAGAAGCTGTGGTACATATACACAATGGAATATTACTTGGTCATGAAAAGGAATGCATCTGAGTCAGTTCTGATGAGATGGATGAACCTAGAACCTATTATACAGCGTGAAGTGAGTCAGAAAGAGAAAGATAAATATCATATTCTAATGCACATATACGGAATCTAGAAAAATGGTACTGAAGAATTTACTTACAGGGCAGTAATTGAGAAACAGACATGGAGAATAGAGTTATGGACGTGGGGAGAGGGGAGGGGAGGGTGAGATGTATGGGAAAAATAACATGGAAACTTCATTACCATGTGTAAAATAGATAGCCATGGGAATTTGCTGTGTGGCTCAGGAAACTCAAACAGGGGCTCTGTATCAACCTAGAGGGGTGGGGTGGGCGGGAGATGGGAGGGAGGTTCAGAAGGGAGGGGATATAAGTATACCTATGGCTGCTTCATGTTGAGGTTTCACAGAAAACAAAATTCTGTAAAGCAATTATCCTTCAATAAAAAAGTAAATTTAAAACAACATATTTATTCTACCGTCATGCTTGATTGATGGCTTTGATTTGGTATAGCATTCTAGATAGTGAGTTATTTGCTTTCAAAATTTTGAGGGTGTTGATATATTATTGCTACTGGTGTTGCTGCTTAGAACTTCAAAACTGTATGATGCCTCATTTTTTTTTAATGTGATCTTTTTTTCTTTCCTGTCTTCACAAAAAGTTATAGAATCTTCTCTTTGTCTTCATTTTGTTATTTCTAATTTTTTTTCTATTTTAGACATAGTATTTTGTTTACCTTAATTCCATATTCCTACCTTGCCCTGCACCTTCCCTCTTCCCACTTCTAATCGCTAGATCATTGGCTATATCTGTGAGTCTGTTGCTGTTTTGCTATATAAATTCATTTGTTTTATTTTTTTGATTCTACATATAAATGCTATCACACAATATTTGTCTTTCTCTGACTTATTTCACTAAGCATAATATTCTCTAGCCCATTCACATTGCTGCAAATGGCAAAATTTCATTCTTTTTGAACCATTCTTGCATCCCAAGTCCACTTGATCAAGAACTGTGCTTTCATTTTCTTATCTTTTTCTTTCTTATTTTTTTATTGTCATTTTGCTTTACTCTATGGGGTAGATATCTTCTAAGTTTTAAATAGTGGTTAAGAAATTTCTGCTAGAATATTTTTGAATTTGAAGTTTTTTTACTTTTAAAATGTTCTCCTGTTCTTGTTTCATGAATGCAGCATCTTCGTTTATATTTCTGAGGTTTTCAGTGATGGTTGCCTAAATTGTGTTTCCTCCCAGCTGTTTATGTCAGATTGTTTTATCTCTTCCACCCTTGTTTGTGCTTTTGCCTAGATATTTAGTAGTTCTTGATTGTCTAGTCATGATTTGTGATGAAGGAGTAAAAAGATGATTCATGATTTTGAATGCATGAATGCCGTTTTCATATTTGAACCTCAAATTTCACCCTGAGTGAGTCTGTTGTTAGGGAACTCTCTTAGGTATTTCCTTTAAGAAAGTCGATTCCTCTGTCTGGACAGTGAATGCCTAGCTGCTGGAGTTTTTGAAAGCTGAATGAGATCAGGGGAAAGTGGGATCTGCAGTCAAATTTTAGTGGGTTCAAAGTTACTAAATCTGCCTATACTTTATGCACTTCACTCTCTCATGTCTTCAGCCTTTTTCTTTTAAAGTAAATATTAAAGAAAAACAAACAAAAAAAATAAAGAAAAACAAACAAACAACTAAGATCATAGCATCCAGTCCCATCACCTCATGGCAAATAATAGGGAAAAAAATGGAAGCAGTGACAGATTTTATTTTCTTCGGCTCCAAAATCATTGCGGACAGTAAATACAGCCATGAAATTAAAAGATGCTTGCTCCTTGGAAGGAAAACTATGACAAACCTAGACAGTGTGTTAAAAAGCAGAGGCATCACTTTGCCGACAAAGGTCTGTGTAGTCAAAGGTATGGTTTTTGCAGGAGTCATCTATGAATGTGAGTTGAACCATATGAAGGCAGTGCACCAAAGAATTGATATTTTCAAACTGTGGTGCTGGAGAAGACTCTTGAGAGTCCCTCGGACAGCAAGGAGATCAAACCAGTCCATCCTAAAGGAAATCAAGCCTGAATATTCATTGGGAGGAATGTTTTAGCCTCCTTTTATTTAAACAGTTAGTTACTGTAATTTTAGTAGAGTTTGGAGGACTGAAATAAGATGAAAGTTTTCAATCTGTTGTCCTAATCTGGAATGTACAGGAAGGTTTTCAGCCCATCTCTTTCACAAGAAGTCCTATTTTAAAGCTATGTTTAATTTTAAGATTTAAAGAGAATAGTGGTTATTTGGTATAACATCCTAATTTTACAGATCAGGTAACTAAGGTGCAGAAACTTTTATCATTTGCTGGCTGAGAGTAACCCAGGTTCAGAGACAGAATTTGTATCATATTTGTTTTATATTATTGAATGACAAATAGAGATGTGGCAAAGAGAAAATATGAGATATAGAAATAAAATGAGGTATAAAAGATGTAAATTTGAGGTATACCTGTTTAAGGGTTTTTTTGTGACCTTTATCCTAAGGAAAATTTCTGCTCATGTGATAATAAGCAGAGAAATACTGCTACTTATATAAATAATTGTACTGAAATACTGTATCTAAGAGTAAATTTAGATACAATATAGCAATGGAAAGATACCTTGCTTAGTTTTTTTTTTTTTTTTTAACATATATACATTTACATGTTTTAAAGTTACATTACTCATTTTAAAGTTATTTTGCTTTGGAAGTCCAGGCTATTGAGTTGTTTTTGTGTGAAATTTTCCAGGTTTATAAGTGTGGCAATGAAAAGGAATGTAGAGAAAACTGGCAGCATACAGACTTTGTGGGTGGTCGTATTTTAAAACAGATGGAAAACTAAATATTGAAAGTCATGTTTTCCAATGACATACAAACATTTCAGAATAAGACAATTACATTTTGAAAATTATGATAAAAACATTCTTTCTAAGAATTTGAATCACTCTTAAGATGAATCTGTTTTTGAAAACCTTATAAAAATGTTCTGCCACACCGGATATTTTGTCATTTTGATATTTCAATTTAGCTTCCCTGAGAGACAGAGTTCTTTGTGCTTTTCTAAATTTATATAAACATCCTGCTGATACACACAATCAGATTCAGGGCTCTGGACAGCATCAACACTAAATAAATATTGCCTGACTGACAGAAAATAGGAGACATGATGTAGAGATGTTTGAAGGGATTTTTTTAAAAAATAACAAGCTATTGCAAAAAATGAACATATAGAGTTATTAAGTAAAAATAGAAACCATGACTTGGGTATGTAAAGTTTTTCATTGTTGTTGTTGTGCTATTTTTGCATGTTAACTGTGTCATGTCTACTAAAAATTATCTAGGGAGTTTTTCCTCTCAGGCTAGGACTGCACGGAGTCTGCTATTACAGCTAAATAAATATAGTAAGAAGACATTTATTCACAATATGTCTGTGCAAATGACTGCCAGCGGTCTCAGTGACCGAGAGTGCATGTGTTTAAAACTGTCTTGAACAAGGAAAGGATTTCTCTGTGTAATTGTGAGCTGTAGCCAAGTTCACTTAAAACCTTTTACTGTTACCAGTTTGCAGGCCAAAAGTGGTTTCTGTTTCACCTAGCATTCATTTCAAAAATGTCTGACTTAGATGTCATAACAAATGATAGCCCTATTAAAACTCTCTGGATATACATTAAAGAATTTCAGGAGAGCTGGCACAGAGCTGAGTTGGGGGACCTGAATCCTTGAGCTTTTATACCTGTGGGAGGACATTCAAAACAATTACTCCTCTTCAGCTGGAGGCAGGCTTTGATTCTCTGTTCTAATCAGGCCTTTGATCTTTCCAACACCTAACTTGGTTTCCCCAGCATGTGATTTCTTTGAAAAGGAATATCTAACTGTAACCATATCTCCTCGGCTTGTTCCAAAGTATGCTCCATAGATAGCATATGTGTCCAGAAAGATGCTGATAGGTATTCTGGGGAAGTAAAGAGTGTTAGCTAAAGTCAGTTTGGACTGCTGCTGGCTGAGTGCCATCTTGGAGGGTCCCGGTCTCAGGGCCTCTTTGTCCCACCAGCCCTGGCTGGGGCAGCCAGCTTTACATGGTCTCACTCTATAGACCATCCAGTCTCTCCTGACGCAGCAGTCTGAAAGGCCAGGGGGCTAACCCCTTACAGGGCCACGCTCAGGGCCAGCAGGCAACAGGACCCAGAGGATAGGGGCTCTGTTCGCCACCCTTCGGCACTGCGGAAGCTTGTTCTACGTGGCTCTTTAGGGGCTTCCAGGGAGATCGAGCCCACTTTCCCACTGCAGTGGCTGGCTCCATCACATACCCTTGTATTGATTTCTCCCTTCACTATGTTACTATTCCCATCCTCTGGCTCTCTGGGATCACTCCCCCAAGTTAAAGCCCTTGTCTCACAGATTCTGCTTTTGACAGGGGGAGAAGCAGGCTAGGGCAGGCTAGTCATGATGTATGTTAGCTTATTGAAGTCTTCTGAGAGCTCCTGCAGTTAAAAAAAAACCAAACAAAACAAGCACACAAACAAGAAACAAAACTAAAGACTCGTTCAGCACTGCTTCCCAGTTTATAGCTGCCATTGTTCAGTTCTTCATCCATGTCCGACTCTTTGCGACCCCATGGACTGCAGCACGCCAGGCTTCCCTGTCCTTCACTCTCTCCCAGAGTTTTCTCAAATTCATGTCCATCGAGTCAGTGATGCCATCCAACCATCTCATCCTCTGTCGTCCCCTTCTCCTCCTGTCCTCAATCTTTCCCAGCATCAGGATCTTTTCCAATGAGTCAGTTGTTCACATCAGGTGGCCAAAGTATTGGAGCTGTGGAGTTAGAAAAACTTTTTTATTTTTTCTCACTCACCTTGTTACTGAACAGGAGATCTTCAAAACCTGGACCAGGGCTGGCTTCATGGGGGTGTGTGGCCTGTGCCGTAGCTTCAGGCCCTGTGCTTAGAAGGGCCCTGAGCCTGGTTTAAATCTCTGCTGCCAGCTTTTTGAAGTTCTCAGCAATTTATGAAAAAGGGGCTTCACATTTTTTGTTTTGCACTAGCTTTGCAAATTATATAGCTGGTTCTGGCCTGAGCTAAGCTAGAAAGAAATTCAGACCTTTGCAGTCCTGGAGTCCTTGAAGTTGAAAGAACCCTGCACTAAAACATAGGTCTTTAATCTTTTCTTTGCAGTTTTTTATTTTATGTAGGTAGATTAGTGATTGGGCCTTCCTGGGCTTCAGTTTGGTAATGTCTGATAGATGAGACCAGCCGCTCTCAACCCTGGCTGCACATTAAAATGATCTGAGGAGCTTTGAGAAATATCAGGTCTGGATGGGACTGGGTCAGCAGTATTTGAAAGCTCACTCTGGTGGTTGGGATACTCAGCCAGTGTTGAGAACCCAGGACAAAATGATGCCTGAACTTCCACCCAGCTCTGATGCTATGTGTATAAGGTTAGATACAGGCTCAGACTTCACAAGCTTTCACAGTTCTCATTTTATAACACAGCATAAATTACCAAGAGAACATTGAAAGCTGTTCGAGGTACAGTAGAGTTTAGAGAGAAAAGTTTAAATTTTCACGCATGTGTGCGAAGTTGCTTCAGTAGTGTCCGACTCTTTGCAACCCTATGGACTGTAGCCCGCCTGGCTCCGCTATCCATGGGATTCTCCAGGCAAGAATTCTGAAGTGGGTTGCCATGCCCTCCTACAGAGGATCTTCCCAACCCAGGGACTGAACTCGTGTCTCCTCTGGCTCTTGCATTGCAGGTAGATTCCTTACTGCTGAGCCACTGAGGAAGCCCTTAAATTTTCATAGGACCTATTATTGGACAGTATCTTGGAAGGGTATAGTCCATTTTTACAACTAATATAAATAGTATTTGTAATACTTCAGCTGCATAGACAGAAGCACAATAAAAAGAGTTAAAGGAAAGGGAAGCAAAGTTCAGAAGAAAGAGGAAATCCAGATGGCTTTACTGTTAGGAGCTACTCCAATATGTTATGAAAACAAACAAAAGTAAGCAAACAAATAAAACCAATCATTGAATCATTCTTCGTTTCAAGGACAGAAATATAGCTCCAGACAGAAGCATCCCCGGGACCATCTTGAGGTCTGCAGAACTTTGGGGGGTATAGAATGTTCTTAACTGGGGAGAGAATAAATCCAAATCAAGGAGAAAATTGAAGGGGGAAACAATCATATAAAAATGAATTAATTTTCTTCCTCTGTCTAAAATGTGGCAAAACTTGAATTGATATGCAAAATAGACTTATGAATAGTATTTGATGGATATAAAATATGCATCTGAATTCTTTCCCAGAGTGTTCTCTGATAATATAGAAGGAAACTAACAAATAATAATTTGCTGTCTGATGAAGGCTGGAGTTATTTTGTTGTTCTTGTTGTTTAGTTGCTAAGTCGTGTCCAAATTTGGCGACCCCATGGACTGCAGCCCAGCAGGTTCCTCTGTCCATGGGATTATCCTGGCAAGAATACTGGAGTGGGTTGCCATTTCCTTCTCCTGGGAATCTTCCCTACCCAGGAATTGAACCTGCATCTCCTGCATTGCCAAGTGGATTCTTTACCACTGAGCCTTCAGGGAAGCCCTGGAGTCATTTTAGAATCTAACTTTTACATTATTAAGATGTGTTTCATTGTGTTTTCCTCACATACCAATTATTTTTCTGGGGAGGAGGAAGTTAGTTGTCTGCTGTTTTTCTGACAATGTGTTTGGCTGTTTTTTCCACCTGGGACCTCTGGACACTTGATGAGAAGAAAACCACTTTTATTTATTATCACCCGTGAAAGTTTATTTACTTAAGTGCAGAGTGCATCAGTGAGAGGTCCATAAAAATAAATCTCTATTTTCTTTTCTTTTAAACAATAATTATGTAAGACTGAACTCTGTGCCTTCACCAGCTGGTTTCCGCATTACATGTGGTGCTGCAGGATGCAAGTGTTACTGGGCAGAGCCGTGCATGCCCTGGGCTACCCGGGCTGTTTACTCTATCTTCTCCGTCTTTTTTTACCTCAGAAATCTGAGTCTTCCTCTGGAAGCACAATCAGGTCAGTGAATTAGATGGTATCAGCTGCAAATCTTGTGTCCTCTTTCTGCCTGCCAGATTTGGTAACAGGGTCTTCCTCTGTGCTCCTGCCTGCCTCTCGAGAATGTGTCAAGATTTGGATGAGTCCATCACCCTCAGATACATTTTCTATTCAAAACCTAATGTTTGTTTGTTGCTGTGAAGGCTCAGGTGGGCTTTATTCAGTTTTGGTGAAAGAAATGAGATTGACAGTCCTAACTGTCCTGTGGATCAGGAGGACGGGCTTTTGTTCGGAAATTAAATAAATGAAAGAGAACAGAAAACAGCTTCAATTTTTATTTTTGTAAAATCTGACACAGAGGCTTCATTGATATTCTGTATACTCAGAGAATATGTCAGTGGAATGACATGCTGAAGAGATTACATTAAGTGGAGAGAAAATTATTCTGGAGGAATCTAGGAATATTTTGCTGATTCTTCACTCCATGACTTAGCTATATTTCACTTCTACAGTTTTGTAAAACCAACAGTAAAAAAGTAGCATATTCCTGATTAATATGCCATATCTTTCTTGAGCATATGTGTTATGCCTATCACTATTTTAAAAATATTTATAGTATTCATATGTATTTAATAGATGGAGAAATTGGGGTTCAGAAAGCTTAAACATTGTACCTGTAGTCACTTCATCTAGAACTCAGGTCTTTTTATTTAAGTATTTGCTTGGTTGATCATTGTGATTTTCAGGTAGTTTTATAGTCTGGGCTGTTTTATTTCATATGTATCTTTTAAATTATATATTCATACTTATTAAAAATATATAAAGTCCCATAGAGAGATCCTTTTCTCTTTGATATCTATCTATATACAAACTATAACAAAAATGTGCTCAATAAGGCAGGCAGATTATAGTTTTGTTTATAGATAGATATACAAAACTATAACAAAAATGTGCTCAATAAGGCAGGCAGTTTTGTATATCTGCCTGCCTTATTGAGCACATTTTTGTTGATGAAATACTTAATGGAAACAATATAATAGTGACTTTTTCAGTGACCAATTAAGTAACTTAAGTATAAAATTTCAGTTCTTTGAGTATCAGTTGAAGTGAGCTTTACATACACATGGTGTACACTTCACTTTCTCATTAGTTCCCTTTGGAACTGATACAGTGTTTTTATAGCATAGGCCCTCATTTGAACTTGCAAACTGACATCTTCCTTTATTTAAAGCTTAGCAATTCTTGAGACAGCAAAAGTGTTTCTTATATTTAGTAAGCTCAGCAGAACAATAAGAATTTTTTCCAGCCTTGGAATTTTATAGTAGGAACTACAATGACTTTTTTCTGAACTCACAATAACTTTGGTGTGCTTTAAATGGAGAATTATGTAACATGTACAGAAAACATGATTTTTTTCTGCTTAACATGTAAAAGCATGTGTAAAAAATGAATTTTACACATAGGAAAAGAATGCACTTTAGTAGAGTGGTCATATACCAGTTTAGGGGTAAACAAGAAATGAATAATGAGTGATATTTCCATAGGGATAATAAAAAGAAATATCCAGCTTTATATATATATATATATATATATATATATATATATATATATAGCTTATATATGCTGCTTATAAATATACATGCGCATGTATTCAGCTTTCTCTTCTGCTTCTATATATAAAGCTTTTGGAATGGCTTTCAATGGATTTTCCTTTCTCAAATACTTCTTTTTCATTTCCTGTGGTCCAGTCTTGTTAAGTCAGAGACCAATAATTATTGCTCTAAGGAAGGAAAGAAGAGATACTGTCTACAACTCAAACGTCTTTGTTCACCTTTTAATTTCAAATCTGACACTTAAAAAGCCATAGAGAGGCAAGAGGTTTAAAAGCCAAGGAATTGTTTTTAAAAACTCAGATAAATCTGGAAAATTCAGGTTTTCCAAATGTATAGCCTAAGGGAACCTGCATGAGTCTCAGAAAAGTCT